TAACACTGCTTGAGAAAAAGAACGCGGGCTCGTGCCGTGAGTTGATTACATCAAAGTTATAGATTTTTGTTAATTAAATCGCCGGCCGACTCGCCGACGATGAGACCTGATGGCACGTAACAGAGCTCACGGTAGCCAGTTTTCTTGCAAAAATTCTGCCACCAGTCAAAAAGAAGCCGAGAAAATATGCGAATTATTCCGAAGAAATAGAAAAAAGCGGCGTTGCAGTGCAAGTGTGCAGCTTTTTAAGTGAAGAAAAACTCGATCGACTCGAGAGAGTGTAACGGGTGAGATCCGAAAACGCCAATCTAAAAGGAACAGTCAAAACCTTAAGACGTAGTCTATGCAAGTGTTTTCAGGAGGGAATGGAAATGCAAACACTTGCAATTGTCTACGAATACTACTGCAGATTGTCTGAGCCACCAATTATGGTGGCTGATTTTCATTCCCATTCTGAAATTTCGCCGGTTGCAACTTGCGCGATCGTAGTTGATACCACTTTTAAATGGTATTAATCATAAAGCGATAACAATCTCACCAAACAGAGCCGAAAAAGAAAAACCTCTCGAATGTTAAGGTGGAGTAGTCGATATGGCCGCATAGTCAGTAATAAATGTACAGGCAAGTTAATTTTTCGGGCAACAAATCATAACAACGCGTATCTTTAAGTGTCATACAGTATCGAGAGTTTTATGAGTGAAGTTTTAAGGCTTAAGTTGGAAGTTCTAACAAACACGAACAAAATTTTCTGCACATGGACCGCCGTGGAAACGTAATACTAATAGTTTCAGTTATTCAACCTTATAATTGTGATAACAATTTTTTTCACGAGATTTATGTTTTCTAGTCGGGCATTTTTACTTTGTATTCTTTGTTTCCATACTCTATCGTGTGAAATCCGTGAGTTACATTTGACTAATTCAAATTGTCACCGTTCCATAATTTCAGTATTTGTAAAAGGAAAGAAAATTCAATTGAAAAAGGACGCGTTGAGGATCCAAATTCAACTGAAAAAGTGTCAAAACAAACTTACGTCTACCGAAAAAAAAAGAAAAACAAGAGGGCAACAAGCTGAGGGGGACAAGATCTGCTTCCTCAAAACTGAAAAAGAAATTGCAGGGGAACAATGAGTTTGTTAAAAAGGGATATTCCCTTGTGGAGACATTTGCACATGGTAACAATGGATACAACCAAAGAA